GAATAAAACTATAATACTCTCTTTAGCAACTTTGTTGCGAGAGTATAAAAATAATGAGGAAATAAAATGGAAATATACTGTGAATACCCCTTCCGTGTATTATTTTTCGTATATCACAAGATATTTCGTATATTTTAAGATATTAATTATGACCAAAGTACAGTCACAGTGCTTTAAATAGGTAGCGAGGTTTGCGACTAAAAATTGTGAAGAAGTCGGGGAAGTCAGAAATAAAAAAAAATTTTTTTTAGAGCCTATTCATTGGAGATTTTCATTGCAACTTCACAATAACTTTAAACAGTAAAYTACCATGTTTTCTAAAAGGGATAATATGACTTCTAATTGTCGCTTCGACCATTTTTAATATATATATATAATATGTCACGATCTGTAAATTTTTTCAGTTTATTCAATTATGTTTACGATTTCAGTATGGAAAGATATACACATGAACCACGTGTACAAATTATAAAATTTTATTATCTAAAAATCATTTTATAGTCCTAATAAGCGTTCACTTGTGCACGCTATTCGTCGAATTGGTAAAAATGTCGAGCGTACACTTCCTTTACATAATGTTCAAAAGCCAATAAGACAAAGAATCGCTTGAAGTAATGAAAATATTGTTGCCGTGCAGCCAAGTTTTGCTGAAGGCCACAATATTTCGATTCCCAAGCCACAACCTGACGAATTTTAAGAAAGGATGTTAGCTTGCATCCGCATAAAATCGTACTCACTCAAGAACTGAAGCCATTGGACACACCGTGATTGTCGTGATTTTACTGTTTTTGCCTCGAGACATATTGAAAACGATAACGATTATTTTTGAGAAAATCGCATTCTCCGATGAGGCTCACTTTTGTTTGAGTGGTGCGGTAAATAAACAAAACTTTCGATTCTGGTGAAAAGAAAATTCACAAATTATTCATCAGCAACCACTTAAATTGACAGTTTTTGTGACCGCAATTGGAAGAAGTTGATCTTGACAAMATCTTGTTCCAAAAAGACGGGTCTACGTACCACACACCACGTGTAATAACCGAATTATTGCAAGAAAAATTTAGAGACTCGATCATTTCAAGAAATTGTGACACTGCAAAAAGTCGTGATTTAAATAAATAAATATCCAACGTGCTATTTATGACATACGACTTGATTTAGTAGCAAAGCACTCACAAATAGGGTTACCGAATTCGTTTCTGCAAAGTAAGTTGTGGAGGCCATTTGAATTATGTTATATTCAGAACTTAATTATTTGGATTGTGCTTCACATTAAATAAAAACAAGGAAAAGTTTTTTTAAAATTGGCCGACGAAACCATGTCACCCTTAATACCCCAGGTGTTAGATTGAACTCCGAATGTACCTAATTTTTTTTATAATGAGATGTGTTAAAAAAATAACGAGAATTTTCAATTTTTAAAAAACAAAAACATTTATTCCATTGTCTCATTTAAGTTGTGGCCTTCAAAATATTTYTCATTCGATATTATGCACTTCACCACCGCTTCTTCCAATCGTCGAACACTTCTGAAATTCTATTTTTGGTTTAGCCTAAAGGCATAAAAGCGATTTTCAGCTACAGTTATCTTTAAAATGATCTCCTTTTAAGGTTCTCTTTATTTATCAGCCGCTTTGGCGCCATACGCAGCAACTTGAACTCACGTTTTTGAGGACTTGACGCATTTTACGTTGAGATCTTCAGATAAACGTACAAAATATAGCTTGTGCAAGATCTGAAGCCGCTCGACCTTCTCAAGCGACATCGTTTCATTCTATGGGCTTTTGRAAAGTTGCAAGAAGATCCGAAGTTTTCGAGCCAAATTTTTTTTCGTGTTGAGGCCCATTTCTGACTCAATGGGTATGTAAACAAGCAAAATTGCCGCCGAAGAGAGAGGACGAAGAGAAACCTGAAGAGATTCAAGAACAGTAATTTCATCCAGAAAAAAAAACACGACGTGGTGTGGTATATGAGCCGGTGGAATCATCGGTCCATATTTTTTCAAATATGATACCGGTGAGAACGTAACCGTTAATGGCGACAGTTTTCGCGCCATGATATCGGACTTTTTATGCCTGAAATTGAAGTTTGGGATCTCGTATATAATTGGTTTCAGCAAGATGGCGCCTCTTCTCACACATCGCATCAATCAATGGATATATTGAGAGAACACTTCGGTGAGCAGATAATTAGAGACTTAGACTTTAGAGAAGTTAGACTTTTTCCTGTGGGAATACGTAAAGTCTAAAGTCAGTGCGGACAATACCGCTTCGATTCAGGTCTTGGAGCAAAACATCACACATATCATTCACTAGTTATCAGCCTATCAGTTGAAATGCTCGAACGAGTCATTGAAAACTGGACTCAACTGATGAACCATCTGAGCCGCGGCCAACATTTGACAGAGATAATCTATAAAAAATAAATGCCAAAGAATGTTCCTTCGAATAATAATAAGCATTCTTCATTAATTTTGAAGTTTCTGTGTTTTTTCTATAAAAAAGTAGGGAACCTCGAAAAGGATCACCCTCTACAATGGAGTGTAATCGATACAGTGCAACTGTACACCGATTATAAGATATTCTAGAATTCATTCTATGATTAGTTGTTACAAACCCTTCTTCCACGCTTTAGTATGTTATCCATAAAAATCACTTGGAGCTTGTTAGACAAATCTAAATATTTTATACCCTTTATATTCCTAAAACTTGCAAAACAAACACGTTAATCTGTTTCGCTAGCACGTAAACTATCCTTACTCGTTTCTGTATTCACTTACTCGCAAAGAAGTCGAGAGATTGGGTTGTTTGCAATTATGAACCATAAATGACGCCTTAAAGTCTGGCAAAAAGCCAATAAAAAGTACGACTTACTGTTTGCGGGAAAATATGTAAATATTTTATTTACGTGAGTGTATGTGAATATGTGTGTGAGAGGGAGCGTACCCTCACATGACGTTGTGTACAAATCTCTACAACTCACAACGCTGGAACATGCCTTTGTTGGTAGTGCAAATAGAAAAAAAGTGACCACTGTCCAATATTAATTACATGCTGACGCACAACAATTATATAAGTAAGCAAAAACAATGCTAGATTGCAGCTAAATGTATGTATATGTATATRTATTGCTTTAATGCTTTATGTAGTTCTGCTATGTATGTASTTCTCACCCACTTTTAGCAGGCACTCTTTGCTGCTGAGTAGTTTTTTTTTTGCTGAGAGTTTTTTCCGCGATTGTCCTGCTCTCCGCTCACTTTCGCATAAAAAATAGTAATTTTCAAGTTTTTTAATTAAATTACTCTGCATTACGCGGCATTAATCTGCACAGTAGCACTTCGGCGTGACACTTTATAATTGTTTTTATGTCGCAATGTGTGATTTCTCGTCGCTTCTTGTAAAAAACCGAACTTTTTTTCATATAAACTATAAAAGATTATAAACACTTCCATACAAGWCCATAGAGTTTCGCGTCAGAATGCACTTGTGCGCTTAAAGTATTCACTTACACAGCCCGCCAAGTCGTAAGCCGCTTTGCGAACCGACTTGAGCCGAACTATTGTAAATAATTCTATTCAGTTTTGCAATAACAACTTTTGAAGTGGCAATTAGACGCGTATATTTTTATGAATGCATTGACAGAGTGCACAAAAAAAAAAAACAAATCTCGATTGAGAAAGAGTGTGTGCATATAAATAAGGCACAATGGAATTTAAGAAGTGAGGAAATGTAATTGTAATCGCTTACACATGCACATTCCATAACGGCGTGGACCGAGTAAGCGGCCAGTGGCCAGTAGCCTGACAAGCCTCGTTTTTTGTGGAGGCGAGTAGCTCAGTTTCGMTTTTAAACAGTTTGCGGTTGGCGGTTGCGAAAGATAACGCGTCATGTGGCATAATAAAAGTTTTGAACGCAATTTTCATTTCAATCACACAAGTTTAAAGCATTTTAAAATCGTTTTAAATTCGTATAACGCTCGAAAATGAGCTCGTATAGAACATTGCATAGCACAAGTTTCGACAGCAATGACAATTTGGATGCACTAGCGTGTGGTGAACATGGCACATTTCATAAAATGCTAAAATATTGGCGCAATAGCTCCAAGTCTGGTGTTAGTTTGAAAAAAAGTTGTAGTTTTTTGGAATATCGCACTTCCGAACCAACGAACGGCGCTAACGGTGTGCGTGGTATGTTGAGTGGCGGACGTGATAGATGCAACATCAGCTATAAACGCTTGGAGAGCTGCGACGAAGTGAAATTGAAGAAAATGTAAGTTTAAATGATGAAATATTTGAAATTAAAGCTGAAGAATAAGCCCAAGAGACAATTAGATATTTATATCGGTATTTGTATAAATAAAATAATTTCACATATTTTTTGTTGTTTATTCTAAGTATTAATTATTATCTACCCGGCCGTTAACGTCGATTCCAAAGTTCCATATACCTACATAATAATAACATGAAAAAGATTTTCTAAAATATTAATTTGGCAGTGCGAAGTGTGAAAGCTAAGCAAGTTTCTCTCTACAACGCTAGTGAAGGGGTTAGGTGGGTTTCAGAGTTTCAGGTTAATACAAGCAATCATATATTTCAACAAGTAAGGAAGGGCTAAGTTCGGGTGTCACCGAACATTTTATACTCTCTCTAAAGTGATAATTGAGATTTCAGGCGTGGTTGTAAACCGATTTCACCCATATTTTGTACATGTCATCAAGGTGTTAAGAAAATATTATATACCGAATTTCATTGAAATCGGTTGAGTAATTCCTGAGATATGGTTTTTGGTCCATAAGTGGGCGACGCCACGCCCATTTTCAATTTTAAAAAAAGCCTGGATGCAGCTTCCTTCTGACATTTCTTCCATAAAATTTTGTGTTTCTGACGTTTTTTGTTAGTCGGTTAACGCACTTTTAGTGATTTTCAACATAACCTTTGTATGGGAGGTGGGCGTGGTTATTATCCGATTTCTTCCATTTTTGAACTGTATATGGAAATGCCTAAAAGAAACAATTCTGTAGATAGCTATAGTAGTTTTCGAGATATCTACAAAAGAGTTAGTGGGGGGCGGGGCCACGCCCACTTTTCCAAAAAAATATTTAATATGCCCCTCCCTAATGCGATCCTTTGTGCCAAATTTCATTTCAATATCTTTATGTATGGCTTAGTTATGACACTTTATTGGTTTTCGGTTTCCGCCATTTTGTGGGCGTGACAGTGGGCCGATTTTGCCCATCTTCGAACTTAACCCTTTTATGGAGCCAGGAAATACGTGTACCAAGTTCATCATGATATCTCAAKTTTTACTCAAGTTACAGCTTGCACTCACGGACGGACAGACAGACATCCGGATTTAAACTGTACTCGTCACCCTGATCACTTTGGTTTATATAACCCTATATCTGACTCTTTTAGTTTTAGGACTTACAAACAACCGTTATGTGAACAAAACTATAATACTCTCTTTAGCAACTTTGTTGCGAGAGTATAAAAATATAATATGTTATATCAAAGGTATATATTCGAACAATATTTCCTGAAATTTCGATACAAAAATGTTGAAAATTCCGCCGTTGAGCCCGCATTTTCCTGGGTGTCTCTCAAAAAAGTGCACTCGCCGTGGACAGCATAACTTCTTACTGGTTCATATAAAATTAAAAAACTAAGCATATTCTCTTAGTACATATCTAAATTTCGTTTTTGAAGTAGGAAATAAAAAATATATAAAAATTGTCCTTCTTTTCTCGGATTTTGAACAAAAAATCTAACTTTTGTAAAATTGTCGGCATTTTTTATTCAGAAAAATAAGTTGTAATGAAACAAGAAAGAATCCTTCGTTCAATAACTAGATAATATTATTTCAAAAACGTGTATACAATACGAACTAATCGGTCGATAACTTTTCGAGAAATCATGTCCACCGACTTCAAAAAYACAGTTTCGAGAAATACGCGTTAAAAATAGGGCACTTAGCGCAGCTGGCCTTGAATGCRCAAGTTCTCAAAGCTGTATCTCCGAAATTATTACTCAAATCAACTTTAAAATTTAGGACTATATGCTAGAGGTATTGTAGAACTTAATAAAGCAAAAAAAATCGATTTTTGGAAATTTTCAAACCCCTGAAGCAAACTGTTATTTAAATATTTTATTTACAATTTCCGGGTACTTTTTTCATGTATTATAATGAAAGTACCCGGAAATTGTAAATAAAATGCAAAATATTTAATAATTCAACAATATTTATTTTCTCGCCTTCAAAGTAGTCCCCACCAGMTGTAATACAAATATGGCAACGATTTTTTCAGTACTCGAAACACTTTTCTTAAGCACTTTTGAGATGGCCGTCGGCACTTGCAGCGAATTTGGTTTTATCTCTTCGATCGATCAAAAACGGGATCCACGGAGCGGCAATTCTAGTTTGGAGAACAAGAAAAAATTACACGGTGCCAAATCTGGTGAATCGATGATATTCACTGCGTTTTTGGCCTTAAATTYGGTCACAATCATAGCTCGATGCAATGGTGCATTATCATCGTATAAAATCCATAAATTGTTCWTTCACAATTCCTCATTGAACGTCTGTCCCTGCGGAACAAAGTCATCATGCACTAAACCACGAACATCGAAAAAAATTAGGAATAATGTTTACTTGTTTGTATATCAAACTCATAGACCCATGCCTCATCGGCAGTTATAATCCTTTAAATGAATGTGGGGCCGGAATTCACATGATCAAACAGGTCCAAAGAGATCTGTTTGCGGTACACTTTTTGAAAGAAATTAAGCAGGAGACGAACAGGAACGCGTTTCATATTTAAAATATCCACAAAAATCATACGAACGGACGCACGAGACATGTCCAGCTCTCTTGCCTCTTTTCACATCACTTATTTTTAATATTTTCATCAGTTGAATAGGTGGAAGGTCGTACAAAACGAGGCATGTATATAACGATCTCTCGACCATCTTTGAGGGCTTTGTACTACTCGTAGGCTTGTGTTTTTGATAAAACTGAATCACCGTAAACTTTTTCCAACATTCACAATTCATTCCGCAGACGAAATTTGGTTAGAAATACAAATTTGAGACAAATACTTTGTTCGATATTTATATCCATTGTAAAAATCGCAACACACTACTGAGTTGTACCGATTTAAAGAGCTGCTGTAAACAAAGTGGTTCACAGATCGCTTTCATATTTGCCATAGTAATTAAGGACAGTCTTATATTTATCATTTACTCGGAGAATTTAATTATAATTTCCGTACTTGTACAAGATTTACTCGTACAAGATTGGGAGACGAATGAAAACTTTGCATGGAAATGGTAAATAAACGATTTGGTCTTATGATATGTTTGGACAGGGTATATTCAGTTTGCCTCGAAACACCTAAAAGGAAGCATCGTATACCCTATAAAATATATTTATAAATGATCAGCACATTGAGCTGTGTAGATTTAGTCATGTTCKTCTGTCTGTATATACGCGAACTAGCTCCGCAGTTTTTGAGTATCGAACTTGGTCGACTGCTTATAACGGAATTTTCTTTATGTTTTATTTTCTTTGATTTTCTTATTGTTAAATGTCATGTTTTATTTTTGCATCTAATCACATAATTTTTTACAAAGCCAAACACYGTTACATATACTATATTTTATCCGAAGCTTCATCACTCATCACCTAGCTTTATTCAGAGTCAGCGACGAGTACATTTTGTTTTCCTCGTTAGCGGTAATGATGGAAATGGAAGGCATATCAGAGACATCTCAACTGAGCTTAGTATCATACACTGTACTCTGTTATATTTATGCCCTTAGGACTTAAAATGGAAAATATCCGTTACAACAACAATATTTTTATTATCAATTGAATTTTTCTGTAACATAACGAAATAGCATAATTCTAAGTGAAAGGCGGAATTGCATTGTATTTTGTAGTAATTTCTTAAATAAATTCATAATRGTATGCCAAAGTTATGCTGTAGTTGAATCACTAGTCATTAAAATTGTTCAATGCTTAATAAATTACAATTCTATGAGCTTAGACTGTTATTTTAAAGACTGGTGGGGAAAGTGATAACATTGTAAGTCAGCGAAAGCGCAGAATATAAAAAATATGTATCAGCAACGAGACCATTTTATAATATATATTCTATACCTTAGAGAATGGCGAATCGAACAAACAGCTAACATTAGTTAATCAGTCTGTTCGAACAGTTCGTATGAGGTGTTCGATTGGCTGCTCGACATCGCTAGGCGAAACGAAGAGAGCTTTGCTCTATATTTTTTTAGTTAGGGTATGTGATTTAGACCAGTTGCTTGTTCGATTTGCTACTCTCCAAGATTTGATGAAAATAATACTTTTTTTATATCATAGTTTACGGCGGTTCATGACTAACTTATTTACACTGGAAGACATACATATTATTTATATACAACATGTGTATATATAACTATATAACGGTTCCATTATAAATACAACTTTATTCTGTTGCAACAAATACAAGMGTATCTTCGTGTATGCACATACAAATATTTGCGGTTAATGTGTCCTCGTTTTAGTTATAAGAGGCGGTGGAATGCCTTTAAAGCGGTAGCGACAGTGCATTTCTCTTTATGACTAGTAGGAGTGTTTAACTGCAGCAAATGTGATTTTCTTATATAAATATTTAATTAAATCGGCGGTGTAAAAATAATTTAACGGAAGATAAAAGGCCAGTTATCTGAAAACATCTGACGAAAGCCGACATGTTACAGGGGTTTACTTATGTATGTATGTACAAATTCATATACATACGTAAGTACATATGTGTACACGTGTGCTTAAACGCTATTTAAATATTAGTTAAGTTAAAAAGTTGGAAATTATAATCCATATGAGTAGCTACAAAACTACCAAACAGCCTCCCTCTTGTTTGTAAAGTAAAATAATTATTTCATTGTTTATTTGAGTTAAAATACGTTATAAAAATATTCTAACGATTTATTTGAAATTTTAAGGCAATTTTTGTTTATATTGCATTAGCGGCGATATAAGAATTTCTGATAATTTTCTACAGTTTTCACTGTTCAGAGAAT